CGTATTTGTAAAAAAACAACTAACGCGCCAACCAAAAAAACCTCCAATTACGACCATTGCAGTTATTCTCGCCCTACGTGCATAATCCAAAGGTTTGTCCAAGCGCCAGAACTGCTGAATTGACCGATAACACCCTGATTCTACATAACCATGGAAGTGGTTTGATGGGGAGCAGCGAACTATATGAAATGGCGCCAACAGGTGGCGCTGTTCGCGCTTCGCGCGTATATCTGCTGCGGAACGGTCGAGCCACACTACACACTCCACCCGTGTATAACATTCTTCAGCCCACATACTCGATCACCTGCCAACTGTGCGGACTGTTTTATGACCGCCTGACTACATAAGTTTGCTAAAACCGCGCACCGCTATTTGCCGACATTTCCACGCAGAAAGTTGTGTAAATATTTGTAAAATTCCATAGCGAGGCGCAGTGGCACAACGAGGTACGGTTAATAAACAGGATGTGTACGGCTCAAACAGTATTCTCCACTGATGCCGTATTCGAGACCAATTATCAGCTATGAGTGCTCGCGAATGAAAATCCGGATCCTTATCTAACATAAACGTCGACCACATACAACATACACATTACACACACGCACCTACCCACGCTCTGCTCGCATGCACGCACCTACCCACGCTCTGCTCGCACGCACACACCTACCCACGCTCTGCTCGCACGCACACACCTACCCACGCTCTGCTCGCATGCACGCACCTACCCACGCTCTGCTCGCACGCACACACCTACCCACGCTCTGCTCGCTCCGCACGCACCTACCCACGCTCTGCTCGCTCGCACGCACCCACCCACGCTCTGCTCGCACGCACACACCCACCCACGCTCTGCACGCTCGCACGCACGCACGCACGCACGCACGCACCTACCCACGCTCTGCTCACTCGCTCGTACGCACGCACGTACGCACGCACCTACCCACGCTCTGCTCGCTCGCACGCACGTACGCACGCACCTACCCACGCTCTGCTTGCTCGCTCGTACGCAGGGACAATCGTACGCACGCGCGGTATATAACGGTTTATAATGAAGTAGGATAAAAAATAGCTAGCTAGGTACGCACCATTGTTGACAGAATGATCGAAGTGTTTGCACCGCCCAGGTCGTAGTTTACTGCCGTCCCACTTTTATCGTCGTCCTTCTTTGCCGCGTTGCCCTTTCCCTGTAACACATCGACAATGAATTAGTGCTAGTGACCCCCTCTCTCTCCTTGCAGACGGCAGACATGCACCTGTGCACTACTGCATCCGCCCATCCACACATTTCCGGTTACGCGAGGTCACATCCGGTATTACCTGGATATCCTAAAAGCGTGAGTCTAACAGCATGTCGCGCAGTAGATTAGTCTAACAACATTCAGGCACGGCTTCGTAGAATATTTTATAGTATGTAGAAATCATTTTTTTATTTCCAGCTAAGATTGTGCCACTATTCCATTTCCAAGCACGGGGAAGTCCGAGATTTGGTCACTATCACGTCGGAGTGTAGACGTTGCTAAAGCCTAGCGCACGCCTGCGATTTTCGATTGCTCGTCGCTGCAACCTGCAACCGCAAGCCATCGGTCGATATGTCAGCGCGTGTGCGCACACATGCGATTTCGAAGCAATTCTAGAGCAATTTGGGAGCGATTGGGAGCGACGAGTCGCTCAAAATCAAAATAGTTTTGATTTCTTGCAACTCGTCGCAAGCGACCAGAATCGCCACGGGTTGCAGTTGCACATTCCCGCAGACGATTCCGCCGATTTCGCAGCAATTTTTTCAGCGATTCTAGAATCGCTGTCAAGTTGCATGAAACAGTCGCAGGTCTGCGCTAGGCTTCAGCACGTCAGTGCTTAAGCACGTCGCCGGCGTCGAAATAATCGGCGCCATGAGCATGCGACGGGTGGTATGACCGTATGTGAACATTCGCGCCGATTTCTTAAAACTCCTACCTTGATGTCCATCATAAAGTCGAGCTTTTCGCCTGCCTCTACCGTGCTTCCTTGCTTGCACTCCACGATATGCTTGCAAAATGCCCAGTTATCGATCTCAACGTTAAACTTCATATTGCCTGCCTGCACGAGAAACCACTCGTCGCCGTTCGTGATATTACCTGTCAGTAGAGCATGGCCGTTACAGCACAACCTCATTACAAATGCCAACCTCGGGCAGGATTCCGGGACAGCTCGCGCTTGCCGATGCTATAGAAACCCGCCATGTTGGCTCGCAAAATCGCTCGTGCGTTATCGAAAAATGCACTTTTCGCGTTTTATTCTACGTTTAGGGGGGAAGAGGCACGAATAGAGAAAAAACGCATCCCAGCGTGTAGGAAAGCAAAGCCGTGTGTCAATAAAGCAGCAGTAGTGACGATATTATCACCACTAGCAACGGTCGAATCAATGACATACCATCCTCCGTAAAAATATAGGCGGTAACGGCGAGAGTGGCGTCAGGTCCTTCTAATTCAGCCGTAAAGTTGAAGCTGACAGCACCGATGTCTTGGAACTTTGCGTCATTATCTATGTCGGAGAAGACGAACGTCTGACTAGCAAAGCTGTTGATGCTGCAGCAAGAATAACGAGTACATGTATTCAGTGTATTGCAATGCGTTAGTTTTTGTCGCATCCATGCGATGATAATGAGTTCCAATCATTCTGTGCGTGTATGCACGCACGTTCATCACTACATCTTCAGACACTTTGGCAAAGTTTCCAATATATCCTTGGATTGTGTAAATACGGGCTATAATAATAATAACAGTAATAATAATAATAATAATAATAATAATAATAATAATAATAATAACAGCAGCAGCAGCAGCAGCAGCAGCTATATGTAAGTAGTGACTGGGCAATATCAGACGTGTTGGCTACCCTCATTAACATCATAACACCTGTCCATATGCAAAAGAAACGCTCGTGCGCCCATATAATGATCATATTATACCATAACATCCAAGTGCTTTAATAATGAAATCGTGCTTTCAAGACAGCCTCTATTAAATATTTGTATTCAGATGAATTATTCAGTGTGCTGATAGCTATAATGTCACGAACAGAATGCAGGTAGCAGCTGTTGCTGCCAACAACCAGTAGACAGTGCAAACAGGTGCGGCGGGCTGAAAATAAAACGTTATTATAGGTGTATGTCTACCGTATTTAACGGCTTATAATACTCTTCGGTGCATTAGACGCACGCTAAATTTAGAACGTAATCATCTTAAACTTGGAGTTGACTGCATAAAGCATTCTTTTTTCCTGTTTCCCACTCTTCAAATCCCCTGTATTTCATAAGCAGTCCTGACTATCAGTATTTATTAGTATATGCTGTAGGCTATTCCACATTACGCAGCACCGTACGTAGCTAAAAAAGTCCTAGCAATAATAATTTCCGCTACACCGACCTAATTATGACGCCCGGTGGTTTTCGGAGCAAAACGTTCGTCCTAGAAGCCGCGAATGAGGTACTAGTATATCAAGGTAGGCGACTTCATTATTAAAATTTAGGTTAAATATTTTTAGATGGTAGCATGAAATGCGTCGTAATTTGCGTTTTACTCGTATGTTCGTTACACGTGTTTATGCTCACTCGTGTTGAGATACGATACTCACATCATTGAATATAATATATATATATATATTTATATGCTGCAAAACACCAGCTACAATGGAACACTTTCAAATGCGGATTAATTCCCATTAAATAGCCTATTATTGTTAAAAAATACTAAAGAATAAGAAATTAACTGCAAGCATTAATAACTGCACGCGTAAACAATTAAAAGTTCACATTTTCTCGTGAGGTATTATGTGCGTGCAGGAGCGTGTGTGCGCGCACGCGCGTGTGTGCGTGCAGGAGCGTGTGTGCGCGCACGCGGCGCGTGTATCAATAATATCAGGAGTACATAATAGATATAATAGAATCTGTAATGTTTACTCCTGATTATATTTTGTATAATAAAGGCTAGGTGTGTAATGGATCAATAGATAAGTGCATGTGTTCTGTATCCCATTGGACAGTTTCACGAGTTACAAATAAGGGCGTGGTGGGTTCAGTTGAGCAAATGTACAAATATTAGCACTCAATTCGGTTATGTAAACGTACATAACCAATCACCGACTACATAGTGGTAACTCACGCAATATATTAGCGCTCCCGCACCGTGGGGTGGGGCAATAGTATATTATCAGGAGTGAATAATAGATCTATTATTATTATTCACTCCTGATATTATTATTGCCACATCATGCCGCCTCGAGTCGCGGGTCACGGGTGTGGACGTGGTGCTGAGTCACACTAGAGAGGTGCACTGATCACAAGTAGCGTTGATGATGAGCGACGGCGACGACGTCTCTTCCCCCTTCTCTCTCGTTCACATTCCTTATGTGTATCTTTTTCACACTCCCTATCCCCAACAACCTTCTTCTCCCCCCTCTCCCTTTCTCTCTCCCCCTCTCTCTTTCGCGCGCTCTCTCTCTCTCTCTCTCTCGCTCGCTCTCCCCCTTGTCTCTCCGCTTTCTCTCTTTCGCCTGTCCCCCGCGCTCGCTCCCCCTCTCTTTTTAGCTCCCTCTTGCTCTCCCTTCTCTTTCGCTATTCATCATTCTTTCGCATTGACAGTAACCCTTCCTGTACCGTGCTACGATCACGTTAGCTGTATACGGAAAATGTAGCTGTACACGGACACGCCCATGCACCCGTTTCACGCGTAATAATAATATAATGAAAAAGTCTATACTGTATACTTAGTCTATAGACATAGGGTGTCTATATTGTACTATAGTATTATTGACTATATGCTAATTACTATAGAGTGTAGACCAAATACCACAGGCATTCAGTCTGAAGTATAGAGCATAGCGAAGTGTATGGAGTATAGTAAAAATTGCATATATAGTATTACTATTATAGAGTGTAAATAGCGTCTGTGAGTATAGCCATGCTCTTGACAATAGTGAATATGGTCTAAGTAATAACAGGTACAAGCATAATATTGCTAATAATGCCCACGGAGTCATTCATACGATTAACACGAGCACAGCCACAGGCACTTGAATCGTTTCAATAAAATATATACGCAGGAGTCGTGTGCTGTGCACGGCGACAGTTAAATTTAGCCTGTGAGCACAGCTACTGCTTATACGCGCGACCCACGTACGCTCAGCGTTTCCGTTACCTGTGAGAGTCCTTCCCCTTGCCGACTTCGGCGTCGTCGGCGCTCAGTTCTTTGATGGAGTTGAACGAGATCGTGACGCGGTTGTCGTCGCTGGTCGGCGGGTCGCTCGTGCCGACGACTATCTTGCCCGACTGACCGAGAACCTGCGTGCAAACCTTCGCATCTTTCCCTTCCAGGCTAACGCAGGTGCTCACGTCTTTTCCCGCCACGTAGACGACGAGCAGGGCAAAGAGAAGCGGTCGGTACATGCTTCGTGGCGGTGTGTGGAGTTGGTAGGGCGGAATGTAGTTACGTTCGCGGGTCTTCCCTGAAGGCGGTTAGAACGAAGCGTGTATAAGCGTTCCTGCTGTTTGCACGTCCGCTTGCTATGCGACACACCGTCAGACTAACACCAGCGCGCTCGGTGGACGTGGCTTATCGCTATTGGACGGCGCTGGGCGAAGTGCACACCGGAACCCACTCACGATGATTATGGCGCGACACCTGACTGATTCAACTGTGAAAACCTCGGATCACATGACACGCCCTGCAATGTCATCATCGCCATGATTCGAAGCTGTGGCGGTCGTACGTCCGGTCGTACTGGTGGTACGATTGTACTGTTTTGGCGCGTGGCGTGTATGTGTAGACAGTGTGCACGTATAACACTAAGTATCGATCCGTAAGCGTTCGTTATCATTAATAGTAATCCAGAGACAACGTGAAAGGCTACATAATCAATATATTTTATATTATTTGATGTGCGATGTACTGTTCACCGCCACTCCTCTAAAAGGTTAACTGTGCAGAGGTGTTGCTTCCATATTTATTGTAAGTTCAGCTGTTACTGCTTCATTTCCCACGATTGCTATAATTGTGTAACGTCTGTTACCTGTAGCACTGTTGCAACTGATCTTTAGACATTCTTTTGCATTTTAGTTGCGTTGTTCTATTGCGCTTATATCGGTCACTGTTAATGATTCCTTCGCTTGCCTTGTTTTAGTTCCGTGTGTCTTGCGCATATTGTTCGTGGACTATGGAAATGCATTTCCTGGTAGGGAAATCTAATTGGTATAAAACTTTGGTATCTCAGTCGTTATGTTTTAGTATGCGTGTTGTTCTCGTATGTATATGTCAGTTGCCTTTATCAGTTATTATGCTTATTATGTTTACTGTCGCCTTGTACAGTTTTAAATACATGATGCGTGTTTTAGTTTAATTAAGCGCACATACACTTGGGGCACTTTAGCTGTACTTGGTGGCGTCACGTGTCACTTGTTTGAGCTAGAACTTTTTAAAACTGTTTTTAATTAATATTACACTGACGGCGAGGAACTTGCAAGCTCACCTTGATATACCCTTAGCTAATGAACCGTCGCTTGATAAAAAAAAATAAAAAAAATATGTAATAAATAAATAAATAAATAGTTAAATAATAATTTCCAACGGTCCATATTTAAACAGGAAGGTCTGCCAGCCACCGTTGTCATAACACAGAATAAATAACACTGAGATATGGTGACACATACACACGTATCGAGGCTACAAGGCGTCGCGTACGTGACTCGTGTCACATGATATGGTGAGATCGCCGGCTAGTACATTAAAGTCTGGCTGATGAAGCGGAAGTACGCGCCCCAAAGCCTCCACTCACAGAAATAATATAGATAACCTATATAGTCTATCTAGATAGTCTATCTATATTATTTCTATGCCTACAGTGCACGCGGATTGTGCTACTGCATTACGTCCTCTGTCGGCGTGCGGATGTGTGCATACCCAGTAGTGGCGATGGTTGTTGTGGCTGGGGGTAAGTGGGCCGGATTTTCCCACATATCTATTTCAAATGGTGGTATTACGTTTCTGTCGTCTTAGTTTTAAAGCGGTCTCTATGTACATTATAGGGCTCCGGTTTCGTGCACCGTGGCACTAGAGTCGCATAGGCCGATTGCAGAACTCCCTGACTGGCGCCCGGCACAATTTACCTATCCTATCCTTATCCTAATTTACAAAGTCCTCGAGAAATCACTGAACTTACGCTTAGCACAGCCACTTCTCTGAGCAGTTGAGCGCGTGCATCCGTACGTGCGTGTAGAAACGTGATAGTTGGTGGTATGAGCATGTACGTATCTACTATATATATATATATATATATCAATATATCAATATATCAATATATATATATTATATATATATATCAATATCAATATATATATATA